TCTGACTGGTTTGGTGGTCCTGTGCGAAAACCTGTAAAACTCGAGGTTAGGTGGTCTTGTGGCAGAAAAAAGGAAAAAAATTGAGACTTACTGGCGAGTGGGGTTTCCGGTGCAGCAACTCCGCCGTCCTTCCCTCACGGTTGGGGTTTTTCTTCGATTGCCCTGCACCAGAAACAAGTCAGGAATCCAGTAGTCAAAAAATAAAAGGGAACGGGAAGGTGATTTGGGTTTACTGGAAGGGTTGTGGGTGCAGCGGCTTGGCTGAGCTCTGTCCTCTGTTTCCGACTTCTCCTTTGATTTTTTGGCGTCGATATGAGTTTGAGGTGGCTTAGAATTGAAACATGAATCGAAAGAGAAAAAAAAAAACTCACATTCCGGCGTCGGTAACAGACTTTGGTGCGGCGATGACGACAGCCTGTCTTCTTCTTCAACAATTGGGTCGCTTCCAGCCGCCCCTCTTCTTCTTCTCTGATTCCCCGTTGGTGGCTAGGGTTTTTGGGGGTCTGGGCGGAGCGATTTAAATACCGATCCACTTTCGATCTGGGTCATTTGTTCGAAGAGGCGTGACCTAATCTCAACCGTTAGATCCATCTTATTATAGAAATAAATTAGGACCGCACGATCGAATGCAATCAGGACCATTCGATCGTGCCTGAAGGAGAAATGATCTTGGTCATTCATGCGCGCGGGAATAAATCTGAGTTGTTGGATCTATTAACACGCAGATTATTTTCAATTTGGTTATAACTTTTGAAAATTATTTTCAAATACACTCGAAATGCATATTTCTTCAAAATTTCTAAGAAAAAATTTAAATTTAAATTTAAATTTTCTAAATTTGTTATTAATGTAATTTGATTATCCTAAATCTAAATCTCAAATTCGGTCGTTACAATCTAATTTTATGATTTCCTTACTTGAGTAGAAAGATACTCGTCACGCTCGATCAATAGAATTTTAATATTTATCTTTTTTTTTTATTTTAAAAAAAAGATTAATATTACAACGTTTGAGCTAACCCAATATATATATATATATTTTTAAATTGACCTTAGATTAATTTCAAACCTATAATTAATGCAGTAAGTTTGAACTTATTTTCTTTTACAATTTTATGTTTAATGATTCTTTTTTAGTAATTATATTAAAGAAATAAATTCGTCAAAAAGTTTGCAATTAATTTTAAGGTTCCTTAATGTTTTGAGTATAATTACAATTTGGTTTATTAACAATGAATAATTTTAAAAACTTAAACAAAAAAAAGCACCACAATTTCAAGAGTACGTGTTAGAACATGAGTACTTATGATGTGGTTTTTTTTTTTCATTCCAAATTTATACAGCATTAAAATAAGAAAGTGACTTGTATTATTACTCTTTGAAAAATAATAAATCAATCTATAATTATACCAAAATATGGAGTACCCTTATTTTAATTTGCATAAAAATTATATGGGTGATTGTCAGAAAACAAAAAATATGGGTGAACAATAATATCACCCACCTGCAAAAGTTGAACTACTACAGAAAATCTCCTCACACAAAAAATGACACGTTAACTATCCAACTGAAGGTCAATAGATCCTCCTTATTTTCTTCCCAGCAAAAAACAAAAACATGACATATATATATATACACACCCACTTATAATTTGTTTTCAATGGAAGGGAATATACAAATCTGTATATATATATATACATAAAACAAAGATTATTGGTGGAATAGGTAACGAGCCATGACCCCCTGGAAGCCCGAGCCCATTAAAAACAAGGTAGAGCTTAATCGAGAGTGCATTAAGAAAATATTGATGTTGTGCTAAACATATCCCTTACTATTACAATGGTGGTCTAGTAATAGAATCATTTTATTTTACTATATTGCTTAGTATTAAGAAATTTTATTAATTTTTAAAAAATTAAA